TTTTTCTTTGGCAAAAATGTTTAGATTCAAATGGTTTTTATTTTGATTGATAAAATGTTGTTTAAAGCATCTTGTATGAGATCTTAAATCATATAGTTAAAAACACTCATTTATTTCTGAACAACCCAATAGATGAAAGCCTACGGCATCGTTTTTCACACTCCCCTTGAACTCATAGGTCATATAGAAGTGTGGGTAATCTGTTGACAGGAAACTAAGAGTTGGTTGAACAACGCGACCAAATCGATGGGGATTCCTGTATTACCTGCAGAGTAGAATTTATCACCCTACATTCTTTATTAAAAGAACATTAGCATTGTGAATTCTGTGCAAAATTCAGTACAGACGCGTTAGAGTAGCCTTTAACAACATCCGCTCATCAAGAGAACAGTGATCAACGCTGAGGTTGACAAAAGGCGGTTTTGGGAGTAACAGACAACAGTTTATGTAATTACGTAACGCAAAAGCCAAGAAGAGGACTTCGAGAGGGCATATTTCGCCGAAATGCGTGTGTTTTGAAGCTCATAGATTTAAACATTTGATGTTTCAACGTTTTTTTTTTAGAGAATAACGCACTTTTTAACTCTTAACCTGATTTGTGGGCCTTTGTTTTTGATCGGCGAATTTTCGGAAGTGAGATGACTAGACGGTCTATATTTGTTCTTCGTTAGGGAATCAATTTTTGCTTCAGCAATTTGATGAGGTTTTGAGTGAACTCGTGTTTCCGATGAGCGGCGTTCAATCATGCTCATCTGCCACGCCACATCTTCCCGCCTCTCGCGAAGCTTTCGCGCAGTTCCTTCATCCAAAGTTAGCAAATTGCAGTCTCACATTGCTGCCGGTGTTGAGAGGCTTCGATGGCCGGTGGTGAGAGAGAAGAACATCTCCTTGAGTCCAAAAAGTTCAAGAAGGGCTTTAGTATTCTACTGCGTGTCTGTTCGACTTTTGAGATATTTCACACTGTTCCGCCAAATGCAAACAATAGCTTTTGCGCATAGAATTGATAAGGATGTGGACTTGTTTCTTTCGTCCTCTAGGATCCCGTCCACAAATCTCAGCAGAACTTACAAGCAAATCTGTGGATCACGGTTACGTGAACTACTAATTATGGCCTTGTGACTCAGAAGCTGGCTTGATTGAAGTCTGCTGTGCATTTGGCTTTCCAAAGAAGTTAAATTACTTTTCAGATCACGTATTATTGTTTGAAGATGAACCTTTGATATTGCAAATGAGATCAGCGAACCTTCAATACCTAGAATTACTTAATCCTCTTAAATAGGAAGTGGCTAGAATTAATCCTGGACTCCATGTCGATACAGTGATAAAGAGGTTTTTGTATTCTACGTACTTCCGATGACCTCTTCTTTTTACCTTCCAATAAAATCATATTTGTGCATTTTGTGTAACAATACTAGTCTTCCCTGCGGCTCACGTGTTTTCTATTGCACCAAGCGAGGCCGTTTCTTTGCTTTTCTCTCAGACAATTTTTTAACCTAATGGTGTTATCGGCAACCACCCATCAACGGAGGTGCTTTAGGGAAACAAATTGACAGTGAATCCAGTTAAACTGAAGTTGCAGTCAAAATCATGATGTTTTAACTTTTATTTGTCGCCCATTATTTTTTCATAGCAGCGCTATTATGCGGAATACAACCACAATAATGCTGAGATATAAACAAAACTGGGGAGCTCAATTGCGCTTTGAATCCGCAGCTACCTTTTCCGAAGAATCACCTGCTATCCACTGCACTAACTGAGGCCCCACATCTCAACACTCTTATGGTTATATTTCGCACAATAACATGCTGCCATTAAAAATGAATAGGGAGTAAAAAAGTTAAATACTAGTTTTGTTTAATCGTCGTCGAAAGTATGCTTGACGATTTGCATGATCCACTGCTATCACAAGAATCACTGTTAAGACCTTGAGTGTACTTTAGCACGGCACGGACTCTTATAGTGAAAATATGGCATGGGACTTTAGTTTGAGGTCGCCCTCGGCCATCATTCAATATGTCAATGAGTGAAGTGAAGAAGGCAGATTTTCAAGTCGGAGTAGAACTTAAATGAAAACATGTGGATGACGGTTGCAGAAGAACGAACTACGTGGGAGTGAGTTCCCACAACATGTAAGGATGGTTCATCGTGTACCAAAGTGCTCAGGCATTTTCTATCATTCAACCGTTAAAACATGTGCACTTATTTATTAAGCCATGAACATTGCCAATTAGCTAACCCAAAGTGCAGGCTGCACCATCATGGAACGATCATTCGAGGTACCTAACAAATTCCGGAGAAACTAAGCATTCTAAAACTATTAGCATCCTTGCAAGTGTGCTTCTTAAAATATTTGTCGAATTATTAGTTTTATGAAATTGTTCAGCCTGTTTTTGACGCTGATGCTGACGTAGATTGAACGAATGAGCAGCGATGATCTTGGTCTAAATCTTGGATATCTTAAGGAAATCGGATCAAGCTTGGATCAATATACCCGAGTGTGAATTCTCGTCATACTTGCACCTCTTATTTACTTGATCAGTTGAGTGACTTGTATTTAGCTTTCTTCATCCCCATACGATTCCCATTTGACTAACAGAGCAAGCCTTTTCCATATAATCCAGAGATCTTTTCGAAGGATAGTTATGCTGAAGACCTTTTTGAGTAGTCACTATTGGGAGAAGCCTGTGCTTGTGCATCAGAGGGAGATTTGGCACTTGATCGCCACTTTTCAGCTAGAACCACTGCAATTTCTAGCATTAGTTCGCTTTATCTAGGCTTTATAATCAAGATATGAAGCTCTTCAAGCCCTTTGACTACGCTGAATGAGTCACATGCAGCAGAAATGATGTCATGGAACATCTGCACATCACCACGTCGATGTAAAGCATTCAGGAGAACTTTTAGATCAGTGAATCAACATATCAAACAATTTACCGAGCTCATAAAACTCATTTGTACGACTTCTATACTGCGGATTCAAACAGCGCAATGACTTAGTTTGTGAAAATATGATAAATACGACGAGTTCTCTATTCGGCAAATAACCACCTCCGCAAAACATTTCCTTAGATGTCCAAATCTGAAGTGCACCGGAAAATATTTTTCACATTTCAGATGACTGGCAATAAGACAGCGGTTCACGTTAATCATGACGTTCTGCTCGATATCTAAAACACCGTTTCTACAATGTCGACGCGTTAATGGCTGATCTGCTATTTGCTTCGCGCAAGAGAAGATGAATAAATCTCTTGCCTCTACGACGAGCGACCAACATCAGTTAGCTTTACTTTTAAGACTGATCCTCTGATCAGAGAGAGTTTGAGTTGTCATTCTATGTAAACTCAGATCAGTGCCTACAGTTCTCTCATATATGAACTTGTTGGATGGTGGGTATTCTGTAAATCTCTGTTGCCTTTTTGCAAGCAAGCTTTCAGATAAGCTCGGCATAACAAATCAGTACATAATTTTTTTGATTGATACGCTAACACGAGGTTGGTATGAGACTGTTGTTTCGTTAACGCTTCGGCGCCTTCGACTTCGTCAAAGCTGGATTTATCCGAGTCGATTGTCCGCAATCGTTCGTCAAGGCCATGCTGATTCTCGTTGTTGTATCGAGTCGGGTCATTTATAGTGGAGCACCGCTCTTCTCTATGTTTTCTCCAAGTGCAGATTTAGATTCATTTCCAAAATGATTCATCTTTCTTGAAATATATCTAAAATCCCCCAAAAATATATGTCAAGTATGTCTAAAGCGAAATATATTTCTCAAAAAAAATTGTTGAAATGCAGTGATCACATTATTTCGAACAAATCAATCCTTAAAGTCGAAATATTGAAAATCATGTGGGAGGATCTGAGGAGAACAGGAAGGACGAAAAATCGACGGTAGCGACGCAGAATTCAATAATTCACAGTTTTTAATCCGATCGTTTTCGCTTTTTCATAGTTAATGAAAAAAAGACTGTCCGTTTCTTGTTGGATTGTCAACGTTAAACTGATTTGGTACCCAAAATGCTCGATTTAGACTTGCCAGGCCAGAACTGATTCGATTTAGATGAGTCGCTAGTGCAGAGTGCGTCAGCGGCACCCTAGTCGCAATGCTATCCTATTCGTTTGATGCCCTACGAAACATTCCATGAATTCGTAGCTCAAAACAAGTTCGTAAAGGTGAACGAGGTGGAAAAGCGGTACCCTCATTTCTAGTGTTGAAAGTCATCTGATAGATGTCGAAGTGGAGTAGATAACACATAAATTACTGTCAAGCAGGTAGCATGCACTAAGCAAAATCCAGAATGAAATCCCCAACGGCCTTTATGCAATAGAATATGTCCTTCGTACCATGTTGACGTTATATTCCAGATTGTTCGGTTTTATTCATTCCAATGCTACTGCCACAATGGTATATTTTATACTACTTTCTAAATCGGATATTTCTTCAAAGTCTTCAAGGACAAAGTGCTTCTTCATCCCTCAGCTCTTTGTATAATTATAGAGTAAATCCAATCTCTACAGAGATAACTAAATCGTCCTTAGTAGGTCTATGTGCGTTAATCTTTACTAATAGCACTATTTGCATATAGTGATGTGTGCGGAAAGCAGAAACGTACAGGTGCATATTGAAAAGAATGGTGCTGACGAAGGGAAGCATGGATCAATCTGGAAAAAATAACTAGTATTCTTAGAACTAGCCAGTTTTCTACTAGGTGCACTGTGCTAAATACAGAAACATCAGTCCCCTACTCTGCTAGGGACTACAGAAATGCAGGTAACCGCTTGTGCCCACTACAGAGAGATGTTCAACTACACAGTTTGCATGACAGCAACAATAGTCGCCGTCAAAGATCTCGAGAGCACTACTGCTAATAAGCTGCTCTTCGAAATTATCAGTAACAAACATTACAATTCAACGAATGTACACTGAGTATAGAGTGCTCTTTGATGTCTGAAAAAAAAGAACAGAGATATTAGATCGAAAATTTGTGAGGAACGAAGAACGGAAGTTAAACGGTAGCTTGCATACGAAGTCGATTCGAGTTACACGTCTTGCAGTAGAGATGTGAGTTGAGCGGGTAGCAACCAGCACCTTCCACCTGAAAGAAGTGCTGGGCAAGAACATTTCAGTGACGCCATGAAATCGCTTAGAATTCGCAGTATGCAAAAGTGGAGAAAAACGACTTGTAGAAAATGTAGACTTTCTCCCGTTACGTGCGGCTAAACCCTAGTAAGGTTTTTCCATAACTCTCATGGTTGTTCAATGTTTTTCATCAATAAGCAGACACGAGGTTGTTAATATAGAATTTATTAGAACACAATTGCTGACGTTTCGGCGGTTTCGCCTTCTTCAGAGCCGTTTATTTGTCGTAAGTATTTAAGTTAGTTGGTGGATAGCCGTCGCACAGAGTAATACATGGTCTCATGGTTGTGCTTTAGCGTATGCTTAATGGTAAAATCTGGTCAGGGAAAGCTCTTTAGTTGTATTCTGATTTTCGCCTAGAACCCAAAAGCCTTCGGATTAGACGGATCTTGAGAAAAAGACCAAAAACTGTAGACGCACTTCTTTCTGTGTCAAACCACTAGTACTGCAAGATATACTTAATGTTCAGGTGCTTTTAACGAGAAATACTATTCCTACTGACATGAAAATATTGCTATTTAAGAAAGAAAGTCGAAATGTACACGGAAGTATTGGAAACAACGAAAGGGTTTATAAATCATATCGATTAGGCCATCAGCAATCACCTGTCAGCGGGATTGATCTGAGGAGCCCAAACCGGCAATGAATCCAGTTAAGCTTAGGTTGTAGATTAGATTAGATCTGTGATTTAGACTACAGCCTCAGCTTAAAAGGGTTCATAATTTATGACAGAATTGTAGTTAAATGCAAAATAATTGGATAAACGTTCTCGTATCGTTCTCTCCCAAAATAACCATAATGCGGATCTTTAAATGTATGAAAAGAGACCCGGCTATTCACTTTTCTTAAGGTATTCATATTTTCATTCAATTTCAGAAATTCTGCAGAACTTCATTAAAGGTGAAAATCAAGTTATATTTTCAAGATATAGACTTTGCACGAATTTAGTTGATGGAAAGGATTTCGCTTCATGATACCTTACTGCTTAGTTGCAGACCACAGTCTTCACATCGGTAGCAGCTGGGATGGAACGACTTGTCCATCGCCACCACCCTCACCGACTCCTTCTCGCCCTCAACTGGCACGATACCCTTGCGGCAGACGGCACATCGTGGCGCGAATTTGCTGGAAGAAAATAGCGTTTGAATGAAATTGTTGAGGACTGCGAGGGAATATACTGTGCTTTCTCTCTTCTAAATGCTTAAATGGAATAGACTAAATTTTAGCATTTTCGTCCTTCCATCCCCAAATTCTAAATTGTTGCAAACTCCTTTCTTTCAAAAGACGAAAAATAACCCAATATCAACTAAAGTTGATCTGAGTTGTTAAACCTACGAAAAGACGACAGTGTTCATCTAGACATAACAGCTTATCAGTAGTACCGTGAACCCCAGAACAATTCTACATTTTTCGTTCCATAATAACCGTCATCCGCAGAGATGTTCCGTGTATGGACTTCTTTTAGAACCAATCCGTGAATTGTTATTGGTATCCTGTTCGGAGCATAGCCGACTGTGATGAGGAAAGAACACTTACATCTTCTTATGGACCCTATAAGGTCTCATTCATCTATCGTTGAATCTCCTTGTCTTACGACCGGTTTGTTTTCATCTAGACCTACATTCCGCTCTGTAATCAAGGCAGTATATTTTCGCCTTATGACCAAGACGGCATATATTTCTGAATGAACTCTGAGAATCGCGCTTATCGAAATTTCATCGACAGAACAAAAGTTTGATAAGAAATTTTTACTAATGTGAAAAATTTTTATTCATAATTAGGTGGTCACATGATTGCTGTAGTAGGGCGGTGAACAGCTTTAGCTGTGGTGTTAAGCTCTTGGATAGTAATTTCTGTACAAAAAAGGGAGAACTGTCGAGAAAGATATCGGGTTGCGTAACACTTGCAATAATAGGTGGTTAAAGTTTTTCTATGGATAGGTATAGATGTTGGTCAATGAGACGATGGTGTTCATCTCGCTGCTGTCAACACTTCTTCTTTCTGAAAATGTAACGTTAAGAAGCAGATGGCAATTCCGACATTCCTCTATGATTATCGAGGCGGTTTGGACTTGATTGGAATGCAATAATCGTTATCGGAGAACCATGTCCACAACTCGAATCTGACAGGAAGAACCCAGTCTGATATGTCTCCAATGGGAGATCTATTGAGGGCAGCATAGTACAGAAACAACGGACTGGAGTGGACTCTTAAGATATTCCTTGCACCATGTTGTTGAGCACGTCTTTATTATCTTACCCATGTTTTTCATTCGCTTAATTAAGTTCTAAGTCTTTGCGGATCCAGAAATCAGCCGAAATATAAATGGGCTAGATCGGGTTCCACATACGACAAGTGTTGTGAAACGCTGAACGTCAGCAAAAAACCATTATTCTGTATAACGCAGTACACCACTAAAAGCTCAATAACTTTATTAAGATAATTTTCATAAGCCTTCGTCCATATGGACTTTAAATTAAGCACTCTACAGGAATAACGAACTCACTCTTGATAGCACGGAACACAAAACACGTCTTTGTTGGCATCGGTGGTGAACGGTATGCCGTCAAGGGTTCCACGACAACTCGTACAAACAAAGCACTCCACATGGAACGCACCGCCACATGCACGCAGCAGTCGGTCGGAGATCGGCTTATTACACTTGCTACATTTTTCCAGTGAATTCTAAAACAAATGGAGGTTGTGATATAAACCCATACTATTCCAGTAGATATCACTTCAAACTTATCCAAGCTTTGTTAGATGCTGATGAAGTCGAGTCTTAATGATAAAAAGTTATGAGGTCCTAGCATAGCCTAAAATCGATATAGCACTTAGAGTACAACGTGATCCGACTTATATGTATCTTGATACGATAGATTTCTTTGCGATAAAATGGTATATTGGGCGGATGCTAGACCGATTAATGTTCCACGCATCGTGGGAGAGTTTTCTTTCCAAATCTCCAATCTCTGAAGAAGGCTATGCAGCCGAAACGTCAGCTACTGTTGTATCGTGTGCCTTTGCACGGAAGTAAACGTATGCTGTATAACAACCTTGCGATTGTTGAGAAGGAAAACGACGTATTTATTCTCCATTTTCTACCCATTCACTGAGACGTAAACCTGCTCAAGTGGACTAATAACAAGCAATAGTCACTGTTAGTTGTCAACAACACAGCAGTCTACATGTACTATTTGCCAGTCCTTATTTGTGTATCGAAGGGAAATTTTACCTGAACAACCTATTCTTTCCAACGATAGCAATTCCAGCTTCTAGTTTTTGGGAGAAGTTTTGGAAACGGGCGAGTGCCTACTTAAATAGTCCTTCTCACATGTCGTGCGGGCTGTAACATTTTTTTCCGTTTGCTCTGTTGCCTTGCAGCTGTCATCTATAGAAACAGTGTTTATGTGAGGATTAGATCACATATAGCTGCAGGCTTTTGTGGATCAGAAGCAATCCGCTCCCTTGCGAATAGTATACTTTTAGGGCGGCTACAACTCCTGCGATTAGTTCGTCAACCGATCCAGGAGATCTAGCAGGTCGAACATCTTCTACATGTTATTCAGTCAAGAGCATTTTCCCCAAGAGCAAGTTCTAGAAGAAATTTACCAGCTGTTTTCGATAAATATTCCCTTCAATAAAATCTGAAGATAAACCTGACCCTAGCACACCGCCTGTAAAATACCGAGGGTGACAATGGACATGTGTTTAGTTAAAACTGCAATAATCACGTAGTTTATTGTGATAAGTGGTTTGTTCAACACGATGAAGACTTATTTTGAATGTAGACGATAGAAGACAGGATAAGAAAAAGTTCCTTGGAACTTCCATGCATTTAACAGTTCTTTATTCTCATTCTCTGACGAGACTCGTCTCTCAGTTCTTTTTCGAAGATCCCGACGTTCTCCTTATGCTTTCAAACAAACGAATAAACATTGTATGTGCATGTGTGAGTGTTTATTCAAGCATAACTACTTCATCAGTTCCTCGTCGATACTTGCCACACGCAAATTCTCAGCTCTGAGAGGGAGACACTACTGCGTTGATGCAAGGTCACATTAAGCTTAGAACTTCATTTTGAAGGATGAACTAAAATCAAATGGAGAATAAATATGAGACGAAGAAAACGAAGAGTTGAGGTGCAATGGAACATCCAAATTGACTTTGAAAGATTGGTTTCCCGCGCAAGTTTTTCAGTTCTGACTTCACAATCAAGTGAATAATTGTAGTCAAGAAGGGTAAAAAGCTCTCCATATCCCCGAGGACGAAAACTCGTTAAATGAAAATCCAAAATTTTTCGAAAAACGGCTAAACGTTGTTAGCCTATGTGATCAGCCATGTGGACACATGCAGAACATCCAATTTCAAAGGTTTTAACTTGAATATTAGCATAACGAGTACCTTGCATGCATGGAGCGATAAGAGTTGATTGACTGACATTTTAGTTAATCGAAAGGCACTGTGTAACAAATATACATAGACATATGTACTTAAGAAGTGTAGTAGCCTAATATGTGACCCCTTATAAAGTAACTTGGAAAAATTTCGACGGCCTTAAATTCTGTGCTTCTAGGATATATATATGGATCTCCATAGGAAAACTACCATATAGCAATGTAAAACCAGTGAAAGCAAAGTCAAATTAAGAGCCACTTATTGATGTCTCTTTTGCCGTTGCCTTGAGGAATTATCACAGTTGTTATTGATATGGGGAATGCTAGGACAATTATGTGCATAAGCTTCTTCTTGAGGAATGCCTGATGGAAATGTCAAGCTGACGTGATTCCGAAGTAGCCATATTTCGCTGCTCGACGAGTAAGTGCAGTTTAATGGCAATGCGTTTCGTGATTAGGCGCTCCCCGGAGGACTTAAACGAGTAATCCCGTTCGACAAAGTAATATATAGATTTAACTTTATTGTTCAAACATTGCTCCGAAAAAATGTCAAACGATTTGCGAACATTCACGATAGCGGCATGAATTATTGACATGTACGATTCCAGAAACTTTCTCGACATTCATCCTGGCGCAGTAGCACTAGCATTTTGGCTGAGGATATGACACAAGAAAATCGTCTGCAAAGCTATTTGAGATCTGAGTCCCGAGAATGGCGAAGCATCTGAGCTTAAGATATGGTAGTCTGAGAATATATTGCTCCGAAATGTAGTTCAAGATGTATCGCTTGGCCTGCTGTGGTGCTCTTCAATGGCACGCGTGAAGAAATACCTCTTCAGAAATAATGTAGTTGTTTCTATGTTGATTAGTACTAGCCACTGAACATTCGAAAGAAGTTCATATCTGATCTAAAGAAATTCGTCTACAACGAACACTGAAGTTCGACAATATCATAGCAGCTGCCCTACATAATTAAAAACTTATGAGTTCAGAATTCACCAGTTTGCTTAGAAGACGATGTTTTTTAAATTGTTAAGTACACCGCGGAAAGAAGTATATAATGTCGATGTCTCTAATGTAACATGGAAAATGAGTAAGAATCGAAAGAAGAATACCTGATAACAAGCATCGCACGTTGGTGCATTGTCGATATTATAGAATGAAGTGCCAGCTAGTTTGCAACCGCATGTCTTGCATTTGAAGCAATCCACATGGAATACCTGGAATAGAAAACAGTGTTATATATGATTTTGTTCGTATTTTTGTTGAGCAAACGCGAGGTGTTATTATTCTTTGTTCACGATTAAGCTGACGTTTCGGCGAATTTCGCCTTCTTCAGAGCCTGGAAAGGTCAAGTTGATAGCAACTCACTCGGCCAGACGCCTCCATAACCAAACAAAGAAACTCCAAACCAAGATTTCAATCACTTTGAACACAGATTTGTAAACTCGCCGCTTCCTATGAGGTTTCCACTAAGTATGTCACGTAGAGACCAACCGCACAGAAATCACGTGGAAGTATAATGTGCCCCTCACATCAGAAAAGCAGTTTTATATACTGCCCTATATCACGCGTGACAATGAGGCATTCTTCCCTGCTGTTCATTTTCGGATTTCTGGAATTAATCCAGAGTGCCTCGAGAGTTTTTCGCGCCTGTTTGTTTGCTCAACAAAAATACGAACAAAATCACTTGATCAATGCCGAGGTTAATAGAAAGTCGGTCGTGGCAGTGTTATATATATATTTGTACATACAAAATAAAGGATAAAGCTCTCGGCGTTGATCAATCCCTGAGGGATGCGCCATGCATTCGATTTCATTAAGTATTGTTGGAGGCGATTGAATGCATATTTGGCCTTTACAATGACTCTCAGTGGACTACCGATGTATCGAGCCAGTGCTACTATCCTCCCAGACAAGTCTGGTACGAATTCGCCTACCCCGGAGAGATGGAGGGCTCGATGGATCATAGGCGCCGCGATCGATTCCACGTGTGTGCCTCCAACCACTGCGGCCGTTACATATATAGTTTAGGGTTTTGCTTTTTTGGTTAGATTCATTGGACCATCGGCATATTTTTTCCATTGCTCAGTTCGTTGAGAAATAAGACTTCCATCACTGCTGCGATAATAAAGAGGCGGATAGCATAGTGGTAGTGATGTTCGTCATAATGAAAATATTACTAGTTCGATTCCACCCCTGGCCGACCAAGCCTCTCATCCCTCCGGGGTCGTGAAATTCGTACCAGACTTGTATGGGAAAAAAATCACTCTGTGCAATTCAATTGGGAACGCTCCAGCTCAGCTATCTCAGGACTCCAGAGAGAATTGTTCGACCACCATTCTACGACACTAGTGAAACACCGACACTTAAGATGGAATGAAAATCCTCAAGCAGTAACCGAAGTCACACGTCAAAGTTGGAAAATCTTCGTGGGCAATGGATGCGAGGAAAAGAATCGAATGTGAGAAATGCTGGGATCCGCACAGTAGACTTGAAGATCGGTTATATAAAATAAAGTGAAAACAATAAGCGATTCCAGCAATATTTAATAATAGAAACTATCTCTCACATCTCATCATCAACAGTTATCCAGTCCTGACACGTTGGTATCTGGTTTTAGAGAACTGCTCATCGTTTGTCTACCGCAAGTCTGCATGAAAGCCAAATTTACTTCTAGATTTTTCTTTCCAGAACAAATAGACGCGCTTATCAGTGCAGCTGATAAGGCGTGGAGACCCTTCTTGATGTGTTTATAATAGACTGATACAGCATGTACAGATGGTTGGTGGGGAGATAACTGCGTAGTCGTCCTAATTAGACTTAAAGAGATTTCATAGACAGGCAGGAAGGTCCTGCCAAAATCCGTCGCTTGTGTAAGAAGCGTTTTCAACCCTTCAAGACGTTGCGCATTGATTTCATTATTCACGCCACCGTACATTTCGATCCGTAAATCTTGATTTCAGCGCACATCTCGATTCGCTCCAATGACATCTAGGTTCCATGGGCCCGCCACGCGAAAATGGCCGCAGTTATGAAATCGTTGAACCTCTTGTATTGCAACAAATAGTTGGTAAAAATAACCAAAAGTACCTCGAGATACGGAAAAAATGTGAGGAAAGCGAACAGTAGAGCGATGGTGTCAAGAAACCAGGGCGCCGTTTGTTGTGTGGTCTCACAGACCACACGTCTTGATTTCAATGCGCATTCCGATTGCGCTTCAAAGAGAAGCGGTCCGACGAGCCGGACGATAAATGGCCGTGGTCGTGAAAGGGTTAAATAGCGATGCATGGCTGGGCTTCGGTGCTTCAAACGAAAGCTGCTAATCCTCAACAACACTACCGTGATGAATACAAACTGAGAGCGGCAGCAAGGAATATGGTCGGTTGCAATTCAATGTCGTCAGCGAAGAGCACTCTAGCGACGTTCAGTAATGGTTATATCTTGCGCTCTGTTAGCACAAACAGATGAAAAATCTTCGCAAGCACTTCGAATGAACAGAATGGAATGAGTCTTCGCGGACGTTTTTGCTTGTTGTCCAAGGCGAACGATGGCTTTATTGTTTTTTTCTTTCCTGAGAGCAAGTCTCGAGTGCGAATTGTGCGAGAAGAGCATCGGGAGCTGTAGATGATCAATTTATAGCAAAGCAGACCAGGCAAACGCGGCTACAAGAAAACTTCTATGTAGTGGAAAGCATGTCGAATGTAGATAGTATCATTTTTGTAGTGGTGATGAAATGGTCCAGAAAATTGGAATCACACCATTTCGTGTTATTTTTATTTGATGCAAATTAAGACTCACAAACACTTTTCTTCAAAACAGTTCTACTGGCTATTGCTTAAACTGCAAGCATTTCCAAAATGTGCACTTAGATAGCTTCTGTAGGTCAATAACACGGCTGAGAGAGACGAAACGAAGGACTCGAATGGTGTGGTGGTGAACGCCTTAGCCTCCGGAA